TTAAAATGCGTTACTTTACTAGTTACTTGAAAAAGTAATCTGATTACATAACTCGCGTTACTTGTAATGCGTTACCAACAACACTGACTATAAGGCATGACGATATTAAGATGCTTGCAGAGCAAACGCGTTAGACAACAGTCTGACATCATGATGGTGAGTTTGCACAGACTTCTGCATCTTCATTATCTAGACACTTTGACTTATTCATCATGTTCATCTTCTACTCGCCGAGTCTTACAGTGACGTCTACTGTTCAGACTCATGACCCTAAAAACCTCAGAAGAGGCCAGAGATATTCTTCATGCTGCACACTATCTGTCAGATGTCTGGAATAATTCAGATTTGCTAATGGTTTTGAAAGAAGTATCTTCTGCATTTATTAGATCAAAAATACAGTAAAAATTTTGAAATATTGTTACAATGTAAAACAGCTGTTTTCTATGTGAATATCTGTTAAACTGTAATGTATTTCTGTGATGCGCAGCTGTATTTTCAGCATCATTACTCCAGTCTTCAGTGTCACATGATCTTCAGAAATCATTCTAATATGCTGATTTGCTGCTCGAGAAACACTTCTGATTATTATCAATGTTGAAAACAGTCGTGCTGCACAATATTTTTGTGGAAACCGTGATACATTTTATTTTTCAGGATTCACAGATGAACAGAAAGTTCAGAAGAACAGCATTTATTTGAAATAGAAATCTTTTGTAACATTATAAATGTCTGTCACTTTTGATCAATTTAATGCGTCCTTGATGAATAAAAGTATTAATTTCTTTAAAAAAAAATACTGACTCCAAACATTTGATAGATTTGGTAGTGCATCACAGCTTCCACAAAAATATTGTGCAGCACGACTGTTTTCAACATTGATAATAATCAGAAGTGTTTCTCGAGCAGCAAATCAGCATATTAGAATGATTTCTGAAGATCATGTGACACTGAAGACTGGAGTTATGATGCTGAAAATACAGCTGCGCATCACAGAAATACATTACAGTTTAACAGATATTCACACAGAAAACAGCTGTTTTAAATCACAATAATATTTAAAAATGTTTACTGTATTTTTGATCAAATAAATGCAGAAGAGACTCTTTCAAAACCATTTAAAAATCTTAACTATTCCAAAATTTAAGTAAGTGTGAGTACAAGAAAAGATGGGTTGGTTTGTCTGTGCATCAGTAAAAGTGAGTGAAATTACACGAGCAGCCAAAAGTTGGAATCTATACAAAGAATAAGCTCAAATATATTGAGTTTTCATCCGTGTAACGCGTTTTGCAAGAAGTTTCCAAGTTATTCTAACTGATAATACATAGTCAGAATGAATAGATGTGTCCAAACCCGTGACTGGATCCATCTCTCACGCATCCGCAGGGACGACAGTGCCGTGTATCTGGCAGGTCTGGGAACAGTGGGTCTGGAGATCTACGAGCAGGTGCCCAAGCTGGACGCGGTCATCGTGCCTGCGGGTGGACACTGTGGGCTCCTGGCGGGAACCGCAGCTGCCATCAAACACCTGAACCCTCGCATCTCTGTCATAGTGAGTGCGGTCTGACACAAACGGCTCCGGCTTCATGCTCCACTTGGCTAAAGCTGAGTGAACTCATGCATATGCGTGAAGAGCATCAGATCAGTGAAGGCGTCGTATGAGCAGTGAATATACTGCTAGATCACGGGCCGTGTTTAATGCATGCCGTGTCTCTAACAGGGTGTTGAACCGGAGGAGTTTCCTCTTCTACTGCAGTCGCTCAAAACAGACTCTCCCATTAAAGACCTCTACTGCAACCCCAACAAGAAACTCTACAGAGGTAACAACTCTCAAACTAACCCGCTGTCTCCTGTGAGCCGCTCTGATGGCTCTGTGCTGTGTTCGCTCACACAGATCTGGTGGATCACTCTCTGGGAACACACTGCTTCCAGCTGGCCAAGAAAACGGTGGACAAAGTCATCTCTGTCAGGTATCTTGAAGACCACTGGCTCCATTCTGGTGTTGATCCGGGTGTCCAGTATTTGCAGAAAAATTGTTTAATTGTTATAAGAGGTTTCCTATCAAATTTGACATTCATGCATTTTGGCAGACAGGTTTATCCAAAACAACTTGCATTGCATTCAAGGTTCATTCTTTATCAGTTCATGCATCAAACCCAAGAGCTTGACCTTGCCAAAGCCATACTCCTACTGTTTGAGTCACAGGAATGGTAAATCTAAATGCTAAATATTCTCTTAGAAATCAACTGAACATGTTCTATTCTGCCCTGAGTAACTAAAACTGCTGGAACAGTTCAACCATATCACACATGCTCCAAAACCTAATTTTTATTATTAGAGCGCTGCAGGATTCAACTGTAAAACACTTGTGTGACTTAATGTATTGGAGATATTGGAGGGCCAAATTCAGTGTATAGCATAATGATAATGCATACTATATACAGGCAAACAGATGAATACAAAATATGAACGCAACATGCTTAATTACATCTCAAGCGTTTTCTTAATAATGGGTTTCTATGGAAGGAAAAAATGCTTATATTTTTTTCTGGATCAATTTGACCTGCAGCACATTTTGTAGTTGTCCAAGGATGTTTTTCTTGAAATTATGACTATTTTCTACAGGCATGAGCATGCCTGCAAAGTTTCGACACTCTGAGGTGTTGTGAAATGCGTGTATGAAATTTCTATAGACACTGTTATGTTGGCGGGTCAGTTTGATCCACTAATTTCATGGTTAAAGGCAGGTGCACAGACAATTTAAGCATTTGGCAGTCGCTTTTATTCAAAGAAATGTACGCTGAAATGAAAGTGTTAATTTTCTAGTTCATGCATGTGAATTTTACTGGGAATCGAACCCATGATCGTGGCGTTGCGAGCGCCATGTTCTACTGTTTGAGCTTCAGGAACGCTCAAAAAAAAAAAACATTTAAAATACTTAAATATTTTAAAATATTTCAAATACTGTTTACAATAATATAATTTTGTGATAAACAAATGTTTAAAAAATGTTTACCTTTTTTGTAATGTGTGAGAAGTATCAATGTTAAAAGTTTTCAAAATGTTTTTACCTGATTTTGTAGTGTCGTTTTTGGCGAATCCCGGAAAATCAATCATATCCAGAATTATAAAGCGGAGAGTTCCGGTGCTTGATTCTGATTGGCTGAGCCGCGTTCGAAGCTGTTGTAAATGACTCTACAAAGTAACATACACCTTTGTTTACGTTTGTCTGTTGCTCGGCAACCACTTTGTAGCAACCACAACTGTTTCTGAGGAGCTACATTGTTTGGTGGAAGAATACTGTTTTTATTAATATCATTACACTTTATTTGCTCCGTTTTATTTTGTGAAACCTAACTACGTATATGGAATAACCGTTTTATAAAAGCAATAAGCCCCGTGAAGCCATGGTTTACAGTGAATTTATAACAGCTAAGGCTCCGCTTCACATCGTGCCTAACAACGCCCCTTAGCTGTTAAAAATTCACTGTAAACCCCGGCTTCTTGGAGCTTATTGCTTTATTTTACCATAATAAAAAGAAATAATTGCATTGATATTCTGGGCTCACCTGCTCGCCTATATATAGTAAGCATCATCAATAAGCGTTTTATAAGTCTCTCTGTGCGTGTCATGTGGAGTGTGTTCTGCGGTTAGATATGTGTTCACTTGTCTGTTTCATATCAATGCACACCATCTCTGATGTCTTCTCTCTCTGAAGAGAGGCGGATGCTCTGGTGGCCATGCTGCGCTTTCAGGAGTACGAGCGCTCGACCGTGGACACAGAAGGAGCCGTGGGCTTGGCTGCAATCTTAGCTGGTCAACTGCCAGAGCTTAAAGGCAAAAGGTGCTTAAAGCCCCTCACTCGCTTTATTACCATCCTAACCGTGTCAGTGTCCACCTGGACTCTTTCTGATGAGATTTCATCGTGTTCGTGTTGCTAAACAGTTGGCTGAACTCATTTCAGCGATCTATTGAGCCCAATCTCGTTCAGAAAACAAGCTCTGGCTCTGAATGCATGAGCTGAAATGCAGATCAGCACGCACCTGCGACACACGCTATATTAATGCATTCAGTTTCTATGCTGCTTGGCAACTAAACAGTCTATGCATGTGCTAATTAACTATATTACAAGAAAAAAATTTTTATTTGTATTGCTTAAACATTTACATTTACAATAAGGTCTCATTTGTTGACATAATTTAATGCATTAGCTAACTAACAACGAGCAACGTGTTTTTTTACAGCATTTATTAATCTTTAATTGTAAAAATACAATTGTTGTTTGTTCATGTTAGTTCAATATCTAATCTGAACAGATGCAACTTTACAAAAATGATTAGTAAATGTTAAAATTAACATTACATTTATGTAGATGTAATCATTTACATCTATGCATTTGGCTATTTTTTAAAGTTCAGTTCATGCATGTGAATTTTTCTGGGAATAGAACCCATGAACTCAATGCGAGCACCATGCTTTACTGTCTGAACTTCAAGAAAGCATGCAATCAAAATTAAGACATTTTTAAATATTCAAATATTTTAAAATATTTAAATACTGTTTATAATATTACAATTTTGTGAAAAAGAATGATCTCATGTTTACTTTTTTTGTCGTGTGAGAAGTATTAACGTTAAACGTTGACTAATTTCATCAGATTTTTAATTTTTGTTTTTAAGTGTAATTTTTGGTGAATTGTATTGAATCCAATTAGGGTTATTTTGACTCGGAACATAATCTCTCACATTGAAGAGATACTGATAAACATTGAGTTTTCAAAAAATGTAATAAATAAATAATAAAAACAAACAAACTTAAAAGGGAAAAATAGTTCAAACATAACACATTTATATACAGGGAATCTGCAGGATTTTTAAAATCAAATCTAAGACTTTTTAAGACCTTTTTAACACCTGCACAAATAAAATTAATACCATATGAGCGGGGTAGAGCAATGTCTATGGTAACGTACTAAACTGTAAAATGACTGTAAAAATCATGATTTACAGTTCAGATACAAGTTTTCACAAAAACAAAAAGTTTTATAAAATGATAAACTTCACATTTTAGCCATTAAACCATATTTAAGAAAATAGATGAGTCAAAAGTATCAATTATATTAATTACAAAAAAAAAGATTTACTTAGTGTTTTTGTCTTGTTTTCTAGTATAAATCTAAATCTAAACATTCTTGAATCAGGATGCATTTACTTGAGAAGCAAAATGACTTATGATATTAAGTTTTATTTTCTAAAAAGAAAAAGAAAAATCTAATTTTTGTTACTTTTTGCTTAAAACAAGAAAAAGTATCTTCCAACGGGGTAAGAAAAATAATCTTAATTCATAGGCAAAACAAGATTATTTTTCTTGTCCCATTGGCAGATATTTTTCCTCGTTTTAAGCAAAAACTAACAAAATGTTGTTAAAAATTCTAAGTAATAAAAGCATTTTTTGCAGTGTATTTTCAATCAGTTATTATAGTAATTAAACAACATATAAATATATCTTAGTGTATTAATTGTTTAGATTGTTATAATGCATTAGCATGTGTTTGCGGCGTAAAACGGGTTGATTTTCGCACTGGTCTGAACAGAAACAGCAGACAGACTTACTGAAAAATGAAAATTGATTCTCTGCCAGCAGGAGGCGCTTTCGGAACGGCAGAAATAGAACTGTTTCCCCGGTAACAGCAGAACACAAAGCAGCAGCACCAGACTTTGAAACTGCTCATGTTTATTTAATAAAATCATAGCCTTTTGAAGTTTAATCGTCACATTAAGCCATATCGCAATTCTGGTCTTCCCATCCCCAAATTTAAGACCTCCTGAAATCATAATTAAGACTTTCTTGTACAATTTAAGACTTTTTATGGCCTTAAATTTGATACAACTACATTTAAGACGTTTTAAGGACCCGCGGAAACCCTGTATATATAAAAAAAAGAAATGTGAGCCTGCAGCACAAAAGCAGTCTTAAGTCGCTGGGGTATATTTGTAGCAATAGCCAACAATACATTGTATGGGTCAAAATATCAAAATTAAGACATTTTTAAATATTCAAATATTTTAAAATATTTAAATACTGTTTATAATATTACAATTTTGTGAAAAAGAATGATCTCATGTTTACTTTTTTTGTCGTGTGAGAAGTATTAACGTTAAACGTTGACTAATTTCATCAGATTTTTAATTTTTGTTTTTAAGTGTAATTTTTGGTGAATTGTATTGAATCCAATTAGGGTTATTTTGACTCGGAACATAATCTCTCACATTGAAGAGATACTGATAAACATTGAGTTTTCAAAAAATGTAATAAATAAATAATAAAAACAAACAAACTTAAAAGGGAAAAATAGTTCAAACATAACACATTTATATACAGGGAATCTGCAGGATTTTTAAAATCAAATCTAAGACTTTTTAAGACCTTTTTAACACCTGCACAAATAAAATTAATACCATATGAGCGGGGTAGAGCAATGTCTATGGTAACGTACTAAACTGTAAAATGACTGTAAAAATCATGATTTACAGTTCAGATACAAGTTTTCACAAAAACAAAAAGTTTTATAAAATGATAAACTTCACATTTTAGCCATTAAACCATATTTAAGAAAATAGATGAGTCAAAAGTATCAATTATATTAATTACAAAAAAAAAGATTTACTTAGTGTTTTTGTCTTGTTTTCTAGTATAAATCTAAATCTAAACATTCTTGAATCAGGATGCATTTACTTGAGAAGCAAAATGACTTATGATATTAAGTTTTATTTTCTAAAAAGAAAAAGAAAAATCTAATTTTTGTTACTTTTTGCTTAAAACAAGAAAAAGTATCTTCCAACGGGGTAAGAAAAATAATCTTAATTCATAGGCAAAACAAGATTATTTTTCTTGTCCCATTGGCAGATATTTTTCCTCGTTTTAAGCAAAAACTAACAAAATGTTGTTAAAAATTCTAAGTAATAAAAGCATTTTTTGCAGTGTATTTTCAATCAGTTATTATAGTAATTAAACAACATATAAATATATCTTAGTGTATTAATTGTTTAGATTGTTATAATGCATTAGCATGTGTTTGCGGCGTAAAACGGGTTGATTTTCGCACTGGTCTGAACAGAAACAGCAGACTGACTTTTTTGAAAAATGCTAATTCCTTCTCTGCCAGCAGGAGGCGCTTTCGGAACGGCAGAAATACTGTGGTTTCCCCGTAAAAAGTCTTAAATTTAGTTATTTTGACTCATCCCGTTTCTTAAAAAAGCAGAACACAAAGCGCAGTGCTCGTGTTTATTTAATGAAATCATCGCCTTTTGAAGTTTAATCGTCACATTAAGCCATATCGCAATTCTGGTCTTCCCATCCCCAAATTTAAGACCTCCTGAAATCATAATTAAGACTTTCTTGTACAATTTAAGACTTTTTATGGCCTTAAATTTGATACAACTACATTTAAGACGTTTTAAGGACCCGCGGAAACCCTGTATATATAAAAAAAAGAAATGTGAGCCTGCAGCACAAAAGCAGTCTTAAGTCGCTGGGGTATATTTGTAGCAATAGCCAACAATACATTGTATGGGTCAAAATTATACATTTTTCGTTTATGCCAAAAATCATTAGGATATTAAGTAAAGATCATGTTCCATGAAGATATTTTGTAAGTTTCCTACCGTAAATATATCAAAACTTAATTTTTGATTAGTAATATGCATTGCTAAGAACTTCATTTGGACAACTTTAAAGATGATTTTCTCAATATTTAGATTTTTTTGCTCCCTCAGATTCCAGATTTTCAAATAGTTGTATCTCAGCCAAATATTGTCCTATCCTAACAAACCATACATCAATGGAAAGATTATTTATTCAGCCTTCAGATGATGCATAAATCTCAATTTCGAAAAATCGACCCTTATGACTGGTTTTGTGCTCCAGGGTCACATATAAGTGAAAGTAAGTCCTGTGTAAAGGCTGTGTTGTGTGCTGCAGGGTGGCAGTGGTGGTGAGCAGTGCAAACATGGAGCTGGACCTGGTTCTGCAGTGTGTGGAACGAGCTCTGGTTCTGGACGACAGAGTCAGTCGCTTCACGGTGCAGCTGGCCAACTGGCCCGGAGACATGGCCAAACTCCTGGACCTGCTGGCTAGAGAGGACCTCAGGTGAGCGAGGGTGACGTGAGAGAGCTAGTGCTCTGGAGGAACAGATGCACAACGTTAGCTCTGACTCAATGACACAAAGCAAACTAAACCCTTAATTACATTCATGCATCACGCAGATGCTCTTATCCAAAGTGACTTGCTTTGCATTCAAGCTGTTATCAGTGCATGCATTTCCTGGGAATCAAGCTACTGTTTGAGCTACTGTTGAGAATAAATTGATTAAAAATAATGTTTACTTTAAATGCAATGTAGGTCACTTTGGATAAAAGCATCTGCCAAATGCAACAAAGTACTGTTTAAAACACAGCAGCTTTACCAGTGTTTGCCGAGTCAAGCAAGGAAACAGCACTGCCATCCTCTCCAGATCCCTTCACTAACTAACTCAGTCAACTCTCTCTCTCTCTCTCTCTCAGGTTGCTGGATGTTCGTCACAGACGGTAGTGTGATAAAACCGAGCTCTTCAAAGCACAGGTCAGATTTACACACTACACTAACACCTGTACCATGGTATATAACAGCGATTGCCAAATGTTTTTATCAGCTGAAGGCCTTTGAGCTGAGATTTTAAGTTGATATTTCAGTAATTTAACAACATATTCACGTTCACAGTTCTCTAATCTCAGTTAATTCTCACATGATATGCAGCTAGTTAGTAAAATTAGTAAGTGTTTTTTTACTTTTTTATTTTAAATACTATTAATTTTTTTTTATATTTTCATATTTGTATTATATTTATATTAAATTTTAATTATATTTTTAGTAAGTTTTTATTTAAAAAAATATTTTTTATTGTTTTATTTAAATATTTTTTTATATTTGTATTATATTTCATTTTAATTATATTTTTAGTAAGTGTTTTATTCATTTTATTTACATTTCTTTTTATTTTAATTGTACATTTTTATTACTTAATTTCTTTTCATCATCTCACGATCTCCAGTTTGGGAAAGTATATATTGAAGTAGCACTGTATTATCATCTGATGAAGAGTTACTCGTCTCGATAAAGACACGCAGGGTTTGCAGTTTATCTGTGGAAACAGAATCAGACAGACTCACACACACACACAAAATGACTTAAGATATAAAGTCTTTCTTTCTGAAAACTTATCAAAATTAAGTGATTTCATGCAAACAAAAAATATCTGTGTCAGAACAATAAACTTTTTTTCCTTTTGAATTGAGTTTATTTTTCATTCCACATTGGCAGATTTTTTCCCCCTCGAGTTACGTATAAACTCACTTAATTTTGATCATTTTTTTGATAACGTTGTTTGAATAAACACACAGATAGAGCGTTTAGAAGAAAATACAGTCAGTGATGCCACATGTAACAGACTGCACAGATCACTAAAGATCTAAACATGTGGACCGTAACTAAAATCAAATGTTTTGAGCCACCACATTAAATGTCACTCCAGATATAATTGATTAATTATTATTGGTTGATCAAGAATGTCTTTATGGGAGGAGGGCTGTGCTGTATATAACTTTATTTATTGAACTGTGTGATTGAATCTAGCTGTATTGACGTCTGTTGTATTTGGCTTATGAATATAAAGGCTCATCCTGTATATAATCACACTCTGACTGCTGTATTTTGTGGAGATCATAAGGTTAGATATTATGTGTGCCTGTATGAATCTGCACATCATTACAACCCAGAATCTTCAACACTGACACTACAGACGTGAGATGAGCTAAATAAGAGTTCAGAGTTACGACAACACGTCTGCATTCAGACTAGAGCTGTCCATTTAACATGTTCATTTCGTGTGATTAAAAATAATGCATTAAAATGATTAAGGCATCTTACATTGATGCAGCTGCTGATGAACATGACGCAGGACGACTGACTGTGTGATGCAGTGATATGAGCCTAAAGTTCAACATTTGAAGGCAAAAAAAATCACTCTCTTATATTGATTTCATATGATATAGTTTAGCAATATCACACAAGGGCGTAGAATTTAGTAGGGACGCTAGGAACATGTCCCTACCAATATCCAGCAACTAAACTAGCAATAATTTTATAGTTTTTGCATGATGATGCATTTAAAAATTAATGGCCAAACAGATGTTTATAAAAGTTCACATTGTTGTTGCAGATGAATTATGACACAGATAACATTAAATAAATATTTTTTTATCAGGCTAAATGTTGATTTACTCTACTTAACTGTCAGTCGCGCATATCCGCCATGCTTGTGGTTTTTTAACACTTTTTAATCATATTTGTAGTTCTGAACCGAATGTAGGTAATATTAGCCATTAGAGTGTGCACGGATCCACACTTCATAAATCTACCTGAAATAGTAGACCATTTGGGGACTTCTGGCACACTCTTTTCAGCATACTATGCTTTGGGACACACTTATTCTAATCTCACATACGATTTAGGATGGATCGTGTGAACACTGGGACTTGCTTCATTTCTGAATGAATCTGTTGAATGAATGAATCATTGACTCATTCATTCAGGCAGTGACTCGCTGCCACCTACTGGCGCTTTTAGTTTCATATTCAGAGTATCAATTCATTTTTATTTTTTAAATCATTTCATATTTTAATATATTAAATAAAAAAAACATTAATACCCATTTATTATAATTATTTATGCAATGTTGAATCAAAACATTTCTTACTAAAGCCTCTTTTTTGTACTATCTATTCAATGCTATTCTCATTTTAGCACAAAAATTATCTTTTGTGGGCAATTTCTCCAAAACTGAATCGACACATCATGTAATAATTAGATTCATATTATAAAACGGCGAGTTCCGGTGCTTGATTCTGATTGGCTGAGCCGCGTTCGAAGCTGTTGTAAATTACTCTACAAAGTAACATACACCTTTGTTTACGTTTGTGTGTTGCTCGGCAACCACTTTGTAGCAACCACAACTGTTTCTGAGGAACTACATTGTTTGGTGGAAGAATACTGTTTTTATTAATATCATTACACTTTATTTGCTCTGTTTTATTTTGTGAAACCTTACTACGTATATGGAATAACCGTTTTTCGCGTCATGCCTAACAACGCCCCTTAGCGGTTATAAATTCACAGTAAACCACGGCTTCTTGGGGCTTATTGCTTTATTAATCACTTGGCAGCCTTTATTCAAACGCATCCTGTAAAAACAGATTCTGATGTGACTCACGTGAACGATTGCAGATGGATGGTGTGTAAACTCTCTCTCTGTCGTATGTGTTTGAATCCAGTTTGAGGGCGAATCAGATTCATTCATCCACAGCTTCACCAATGTTGAGTTCCTGTCACAGCCTGGACTGCAAATGAAGCTTCATATCTGTATTTCAGTATTTAATGACTGTACATTGAACAACAGATGACAAAAAACAAAAATGTCAAATCAGTGCGTTTATTTACATTTCTTTAAAATAACCATCATTCATAAACACCGCGTCCTCTTGATCTGTAAATCATAATCATACAGTGAAACCGACTGGAGTCGTAATGCTGGACACACTGCAGTTCTTCTAACAATCTACTGTGCCAAACATTAGCAGCTACACTTACAGCAGTGTTTGTAAACCTGCAGCGGCAGAGAAACGCTGTTAGAGGAATGTTGTGTGTTCAGCTCTAGCAGCAGTGTTTGAGGTACAGCATAGAACATCACCTGACTCGCATTTCCAGCAGCAGCAGTGAAAACAATCAAACAGAGATGCGACGCGTGCTTTCGTTCGAGCTCTTTATAATGCATGTGAGCTGTAAAGTGTCTAAATCTGTGCTGGTTCTCAACCAGGAGCTCAGCATGAATATTATTGAATGAATATTAAAAATTAATATTATTGAAGCACTTGTTATAAAACCACACGGTAACACTTTACTTAAAGCCTTTTATATAATGCATTGTAAAAGTATTATTTATGCCTTGCAATGCACCTTATAATGCATTGTATAATCATATGAATAACTGTAACCAGAGTTATAATACATTATAATACTCATTGTTACACCTTTAGAAATTATAATGCATTCAAACATGACAAACCACCAATTTTAGATGCAAAACGGAATATGCAAATATTATAATGCATTTTAATTTTGGTTACAATTATTTATTCAAAAGATACGATGCATTACATTATGCATTGTGAATATCTTTGTAATGCATTATGAATGAAGGCTTCAAGTGTTGCAGAAAATAATTTCAGTTTTTCCTACTTCAAAATTTCATGTTTAATTCAGTGTGTTTCTTTGTAAATATTTCAATCAGCAATTTCTGAGTGAAAATTGTTTAAAAGCAAATCCTACACCATTTTTTCCCCAGTGTGCAGGAATAATTATTATAGCTTATATGGAGGGCTCTCTGAATCTTAATAACAGTGTGTAATTTGATGTCTATTGCTCTTGTTTTGCACTGTACCTGCACTGAGGAGCGAGCTGAAGTGATTTTCTGTGCTGACAGACATTATGTGACTAATGCTGCTGATAGAGCTTCAGTACTGAACCAGTATCATGTAAACAAGGCCTCGGAGGTGACACTTAGCGTTTAGCGAAAGGCTGCTCCAGAATCAGTGAGGTGGATGTGACTGTTCAGATATAACCTGCTGGTTGATAAATCCTCTGGAATATAAAGAAGTGTGCTGCTGGGAAATGAGCTCTGGTTTCTGTCACTGGCGTTTGGGTCGGCCGTCGGGCTTGTATTTGATCAGAAGACCCAGAGACGTGAGACCAAACAGGAACGTCTGAGCGAACCACAGCAAGCGTGTGGACGTGCTGTCGATGCCTTTATCACTGCAGACACAAACACACTGATCAGCACAGTCCTGCATCTGATTAGATGAAAACATCTGGGGGAAACTTGTGAAAATGTGAATGTGAAATGAAAATGTGCTGAAAATGTGCTCATCTGAGATCAGGATGAGTTTGTTTCTTCATCAGGTTTGTAGAAATGCAGCATTGCATCAGTGTCTCAACAATGGATGCTCTGCAGTGAATGGGTGCCGTCAGAATGAGAGTCTAAACAGCTGATAAAAACATC